TAGGGATTGGGCCTGCCCTCTGCCACCCGGGAGCAGGCCTAAGCCAGCAGGTCGTTATCTCCCGAGGGGTCCCAGACTGCGAGAGGGCACAGGCCGGGCTGGGGGACCCCCCTCCCCCCGCCCCCCGAGTGCACAAATTTTTGTGCACCGGGCCTCTAGTAATATTTATAAAATATATTATTGAGAGTACTACAGATGTCTCCCCTTTTTTTCTTCCCATGTTCCCCATAATGATTTTTAAAGCTGGAAATCAAGAAACATAGTTTTAAGCAAACCAATTATTTATTGGAGAAACCTGTGTACCAGAACACAACTATTACTGTACATAAATTAACTAGAGGCCCGGTGCATAAAAATTCATTCACTGGAGGGGGGGGGGGTCCCTCAGCCCGGCCTGCCCCCTCTCACAGTCCAGGAGGCAACCCATCTATCAGGGGAAGGCAACGCCCCCATCACACCTCTGCTTCTGCAACTGCCGGCAGCACAAGCCTCGGCCGGCCCTGGTTACCTGAGCCTCAGGCAGCCCTGGGCAGCTGAGGGGACTGGGGGACTCCAGAGGCAGGCGCACCGCAAGGCCGGGCCCACCTGCCACCCCGGCAGGGCTGAGGGGACTGGGCACCACCATCTTTTGGCTGTGGGCGCCGCCATCTTTGAGGGTGAGGCAGTCAATTAGCATATCCCCTCCTTATTGGCTGTGGGCGCTGCCATCTTTAGCGATGGTGTGAGGGTCAATTAGCATATTCCCCTTTATTAGCGAGGATACACAGTAGGAAGGTTCCTAGGATCTCTGAAATAGTATCAGGCCTATAAGAAGGGTTCAAAAGAAAAAGCTTGATCTAATTAGCTCTTTAAAAGATGATAGAATTAGTTCTTTAAGAGATATCTAAGGAAATTGATTATGCTAATTGAGGAATTTGGACAATTTATATAACTAACCTCTCTGAAACTATATTGCCTCATCTGTAAGATTGGAATAATAGTTTTTCAGTAGATTTGTTGAAAGAATTAAAGTTAGATAATGTATATAAAGTGGTCAAGGCACATAGTAGATATTTAAAAATATTTTACTTCTCGCAGCAGTTCTCAACCTGTGGGTCGTGAACAATGAAAATACATCCTGCATATCAGATATTTACGATTCATAACAGTAGCAAAATTACAGTTATGAAGTAGCAACGAAAATTTTATGGTTGGGGGTCACCACAACATGAGGAACTGTATTAAAGGGTCACGGCATTAGGAAGGTTGAGAACCACTGCAGAGGAATTTAAGGAGGTACTGATTAGTTTCATCCTGGAGGTCTATTTCTAGGAGCTTTTGAAAGCACCTGTCTTCCAAACCTTCCGATAGAGTACAGGTCTATTTGTAATCCTTCTAAAAAAATCACCTTCACCTCTTTTTATCATTCTTATTATTTCCCAAGCACAAATAGAATTGTCCACTTCCCATGTCCCCAGCCTTCTCATATCCTAATCTAATTCCTTTAGAACGTTGGTCATGACTCACAGTTGTATGGCATTATGATATAAGGGGCATTTGCATGTCTCCATTTGATTCTTTTAGTTATTATTTGTTTATATTATATTCAGCAAAATCTTGTACAAAATCATGAAAAACACTCTATATTGTTTTTGTGAATGGATTTTGACCAATATTGTGATGTTGGCTTCTTTGTTAATATGGGTAATACTCTAATACAAGTATTGATTATTGGGGGAATGGTTATGTTCTATTTTTCATCTTAGTTCCAAAGCAAATAGTTTTTACCATCCTCTACCAGACTCCACTGGTTCAGTTTTAGTTCAACAATTATAATCTTAAAAAGGCATATATTTTGTAATTGGCTAGATGTGCTGCTTTTGCAGCAGTAACCAAGTCTTATACATTGACCTCTCCCAAAAGATAACACCTTAAGCTTATTACTTGGTTAATGAACTACCAAATTATTAGAACTTATACTTACATATTTTATAAGAAACTTAAATCAAGGCAATTAGCAAATATACTGTACCAGTACGAGAAAATATAATTGATCCATTTTCCACTGAAGCTGAATACCGAACCTTGTGACTTCGGTTTTCCAGGGCAGTTGCAATTTCACAACTCTTCAAAAAAATTTTCAGAAATACAAACTTAAGACATGCTTAGAATAGTTTTTATTAAAGCTAATACATTAAAATAAGTTTAACAGCTTCTTTTATTACTAAACCACTTAAAGATTTGATCATCAAAAGATACACTAAATGTTCTCTATGGAGAAAAAAAACCCACCAAAAAACCCAAAAATATTTAGTTCAGCTCAAACATTGCAGGTTTGGACATGAGTTGTGTACTACAGTTACATTACTTACGGAAAGAAATTAAGGGCATAATTAAAGAACTGAACTATGAAAGCTAGAGTAAATGAAAACTTTAGAAAAAATCCCGTAGAGATGGATTCTGACATGCATTAATGTATAACAGAATGTGGGTGGTGGTGTGTTTCTTAGATGGTTAACAGAAACATGAAGTGCTAGGTCTAGAATACAACAAAGACACCAATTCTCAAATTCATGTTTACTTAACAGTTACTTTTAGGGTACTTTTAAAATGTCTTAATCCTTAGGTGAGTCAGAAAACAGCAACCAAACTTTTGGTTTCAATAATAACCATTTCAAAATTCATCTCATTTCTGATTCTACCAAGTAATTAAATCATAATACCCAAGACACTAAAACATAAGTGGTTAATAGTTTTTCCTGATTGTTATTCTCAAAATACGTAAAAATCCCTTAGGTATATTAATTTTATATTTTTTCTCAGATCAAGTATATTTTAAGCACACAGGCAGAAATTAGGTATGAAATATATACCCTCTTTCCTTCCTAAAGGAGTATTTTGTGCCATTCAAACAGATCCTGATGTCGAGTTCAATTATGACACTTCCCCTGAGCTGCTCCTGCTGTTTTAAAATTATACATTGCTTCCAGTGATGGCAGACTAAGTAATTTAGGCCAACCCTCCTGCTGAAGGCAACTGGGAAGCTGGACAATTTTTTTTCTTCCTTTTTTTTTTTAAGAGAATGTTTATTAAAGCTAGAGGCAGTGAAACAAAAAAGGGCCTAGGATAACAGGAGAGGGACTAGGTGTTAAAATGAGCCTCAGTGCCTGGTCAGCGTGGGTCAGTGGTTGAGCATCAACCTATGAACCAGGAGGTCACAGTTAGATTCCTGGTCAGGGCATATGCCCAGGTTGCAGGCTCAATCCTTAGTGTGGGGCGTGCAGGAGACAGCCAATCAATGATTCTCTCTCATCATTGATATTTCTATCTCTCACTCTTCCTCTCCCCTCCTCTCTGAAATCAATAAAAATATATTTTATAAAAATAAAATAAAATGAGCCTGGACTGCTGCCCGGCCAGTGTGGCTCAGTGGCTGAGCATTGACCTATGAACCAGGAGGTCATGATTCAATTCCAGTCAGGGCACATGCCTGGGTTGGGGCTTGAACCCCAGTAGGAGTGTGCAGGAGGCAGCCAGTCGATGATTCTCTCTCATCATTGATGTTTCTCTCTCTCTCTTCCTCTCCCTCTCTGAAATATTTAAAAGAAAGAAAGAGCCTAGGCTGGGCTGCTATGGCTCACTAAGAAGTCAGAGAAAAGGGGGCCTTGGGGACAGGTTCAGGGAGTTTGCCCAGACGAACTGCTGCTGCCCATTGCTGTTCTGGCTGCAAATCTTGTGGGGTCCCTTAGAGCAGTGATTCCCAAAGTGGGCGCTACCACTCCTCGGTGGGCGCTGCAGCGATCCAGGGGGGCGGTGATGGCCACAGGTGCATTTGGGGTCGATGAGTAACTGCTATTAAAATTTTAAAAAAATTAATTTCCAGGGGCTGAGTAATATTTTTTTCTGGAAAGGGGGCGGTAGGCCAAATAAGTTTGAGAACCACTGCCTTAGTTTCAGAGATGCACTCCTGTTGGGGAAGAAGAGGGAAGAGGGACAGGTATGGGCGTGCTCCTGGGAGGAAGAACGTGCCAAAGCTGGACAATTTTTAAAAACTGCTTGAATGCATCAGAGAGCTAGCAGGATAGTGAAAAATTACAAGACTGAGATCTATACAGAAATTTAAAGATATGAGACCAGCATTTAGGCCATATTTTCCCTGAGGGCATCTACCTGACAATTAAGGAAGAGACAGATGAAAGCCTGAATAGAGCCTTTGTCAAAAGTAGAACAGCTCTCACAGGGATTGCAGCCTTGCTTCAAATCATTTCAATCCCTGAAATTGTATTAAGTTAATATTGTATTACTAATGCTCCCAAGCATCTTGCAGAAGCACTTCCTAGAGCAACCTTTCTCAATTAGGTCTCCTCATTTGAACTACAGAACAAACAAAACTATTTGGGTGACTATTTTCTCACTTTTCCTATACCAATACCATTCTAGATGCACAGAAAATAAGTTCATTTTTACATACAACAAACACCTTAGGGGTTGGGTTACTAGATTAACAAATAAAACTATAGAACACCCAGTTAAAATTGAATTTCAGGTAAACAATATAATTTTTAGCATAAGTATGTCCCATGGAATATTTAGGATGTACTTATACTATAGTCATTGCTTATCTGAAACTCAAATTTAATTGAGTGTCCTGTATTTTATCTGGCAACCCTCTTAGGGCATTAGGGATTTAATTATCTTGCAGAATTAAGACTTCTCTAGAGAAATAGAATACTATTTTAGGCCTCAAATTATTTCTAGAAATAATTTTTCAAATATAAAGTCCAGCCCTAGCCGGTTTGGCTCAGTTGATAGAGCGTCGGCCTGCAGACTGAAGTGTCCCGGGTTCACTTCTGGTCAGGGGCACATGCACAGGTTGCAGGCCCAATCCCCAGTAGGGGCATGAAAGAGGCAGCCGATCAATGATTCTCTCTCATCATTGACGTTTCTATCTCTTTCTCTCTCCCTAACTCTCTGAAATCAATAAAAATATATTTTTAAAACATTAAGTAAAATAAAAAATATAAAGTCCAACACAATAAAAAGTAATCAGACATACAAAGAGACAAGATTACATGAAAGAACCATCAGAAACATCAGGAAATATAAACAGACACATAGGGGATACATACACTGAGTGACCAGATTATTATGACCACCTGACGTTTGTAGGCAAATTAGCTATAATTTTGTGCTGAAGTTGCTAGAGGGCCAGATCATTATAAACGTCTGAATAGCACAACATACCTAAGTATCGTTGCTGATCAAGTTCATCCTATCATGTTGATGGCGTATCTCAATGGAGATGGCTTCTTCCAACAAGACAATGCGCCATGCCATGGTGCCCATATTGTGCAGGAGTGGTTTCAAGAACATGAGGGAGACTTTACCTTGCTTAGGTGGTCCCCACAATCACCAGATCTCAATCCAATTGCGCATTTGTGGGACAAAGTTAAAAGAGCTATCAGGCAGCTGGTTCCACAACCATCAAATCTCACAGAACTGGACAGTGCTATTCATCAGTTATGGTGTCAGATCCCTCGCATCACCTTTCAACATCTCGTGGAGTCAATGCCAAGAAGAATCGCCTCAGTATTGAAGGCAAAAGGTGGTCCAACAAAGTACTGATGGAGTGGTCATAATAATCTGGCCAATCATAATAATCTGGCCACTCAGTGTATAGTGAAATTAGCAGATATACTAGAGGCCCGGTGCATGAAATTCATGCACTCGGGGTGCGGGGGGTGGTCCCTCAGCCAGGCCTGCAAGAGGCCCTCAGGGGATGTCTGACTGATGGCTTAGACCCTCTTCTGGGGAGTGGGCCTAAGCTGGCAGTCGAATATCCTTAGCGTTGCCACAGAGGCGGGAGAGGCTTCTGCCACTGCCGCTGTGCTTGCCAGCCATGAGCCCGGCTTCTGGCTGAGTTGTGCACCCTGTGAGAGCACACTGACCACCAGGGGGAAGCTCCTGCATTGAGTGTCTGCCCCCTGGTGGTCAGTGCGCATCATAGCAACCAGTCATTCTGCCGTTCGGTCATTTGCATATTAGCCTTTTATTATATAAGATACCTTTAAATAGCAAATGTTCAAGAAGATAAAAGACATGGTTGAGAATTTTGACAAAGAACCAGAAAGTATATTAAAAAGGGTGTGTTGTGACAGATGTGAGTCAGGAAAGCTTCATAAAATTTGAGTCAAATCTTTAGTGGAAAGCAGTTTATTAAGTAGATAAGTGAAGGAAGAAGACAAATGTGAGAACAGCCTGGACAGAAAAAGTAACACAGGCGAAGGTATTCAGATCTAAAAATATGATACTTATATAGTAAGTATGTAAGCTGTATATGAGTCAGTTAATTTGAGGACAGTGTTAGAATAACTGAGGACCCATGTCTGCCATGCTAATAAATTTCAATTCTATCCTATTGGGGGAGCCAAATTATAACAATAAAAATAATAGAAGAG